CGCTGGCGGCTCGACCTGTTTCCGCTTGAGGCGATAAAATCCCACGTTTACCAAAACCGATGCGGGTAATCGACGTAGCTTTTCTTTTCCCTCGGCCTTTGGGTTGGAGTCAAGCTGCTTAGGACGGTTTCCCACCCTCCCCGCCGCAGCCTTTGCTCTTCTGTTAAACGTAAGCCGCTCTCTGCATCGAGCTTGGCAGAGTTGTGGTCTAATGAAGTCTGCGTTTAAGCTGGCCCTTTTCTTGGAGTCTTCCAAAACTGTTGTTGACCCATCTCCTGTCAACAGCCTCTGTTGCAGGTATTAAGTTCAACTAGGATGGCAGCCAAGCAGTTGCCACTGCAACTAATGTCGTCAGAGAGCAGTGTTTATCTGTGAACGACTGAAGCCTGCTTTTGAGCATGCCATAAACAATAATCTCAATGATTTGTCTAGCTCCTGTTTTATGTTCCTTGTACTTCAGGGAGTTGTGCTGAATAACGCTGTCATATGCAAACCTGTTTCAGTTGAAAAGTTAGCAAAACCTCTCTGTGTTTGCTGAGTTGACAGCTGGTCTCATCTGCTCCCTGCATCTCTTGTGCTTCTGGTTAACTTAATCTTAAAAGTACTTTAATTAACTAGTATCTCTGCCCTTGAAGTGTTAATTCTAGTCTGCAGAGAGTGTGGCTTGTGCTGTAAGATCTGAAAGCCTGAGTTGAAAGTAGGATTGCACTCCTACCCCGAAGCCGTCTTGCTACACAGGGCCTTGAGCAACAGGAAGCGTGTTTTTTAAGCCTTTTAAGACTCTTAGTCTCACAGTCTGTTGAAGGTTTTACATACTAGTGGCCTTAGTTTTGCTCGATTCATGTCCAGCTTTAATCCCTGACTCACGTGAGTTGCATTTCCTTACCTGGCTCGTAAAAGGTGCAGAGATGTATTTGATGCCTGCGAGCTCCCCTATGGACCAATGGACAGCTGAGTAATGCTGTTGCTGAATGACAGAGCAGGTAATGTGTCCTGCGTATTAGCATACAAATAATGAGTTTGGCCAATGGTGCTGATCTAAGCTGCTTCTCTCCCCTGAGCAGCACCTCTCCCTGTGGTAGGTGTCTGTTCCAGCTGTGCTACAACACTAAATCTTCTCTCTGAAAGGTGTTTATAGATGGGGATGGCCTGGAAAGCCCCAACCTGCTGAAAAGAACTGGAGAGATTAAATTTGGGTTCATTGAATCCAAAAGCAGACATGGTATAAGCAGATGCAACTGACTCCAGAAGCAACTGTGTCTGTTTACTTTGGCTCTGACTTGTACTTCAGCCTAGTTTATAATATCTGTACTATTAATATTTATGTCTGAGATGAACTTTATCCTGAAAACCAGCACAGATAACGGGGAAATATCTAGGTATACAAAATCCTACCGACAGCTCTTGCAACAATGTGTTGCAGTATAATCAGAATAGAAAACTGTAATTCTGTAATACTAGAACGAACAGTGTAAGCTGATAACTGCCTGGCTTCGGCTGGTCTTGGGTCTCAAATAATTGTTCACAACTTCCTCTTCGGGGATCTAGTAGAAATAGGACAGGATATTTGGTCATTAACTTGGCTAGTGTAATTTGATCCCATAAATTTATGAGCTTAAATGTCTCCTTTAGTCAGCAGCAAATGCGGTGTGGAGGGGAGGTCCACCTCCTTTAACACGTTTAGGTGTCCCAGGAAATGTGCGTGCAGTCCTTGTCATCTTGTGTCAAAGAACAGAGTATCACCAGTGTTGTCCCCTTAGAAAACTGCTTTGCCTGAATTTGCTTTTGTGGCTCTGATTAACTTGCGGCACCTGTCTTCACTGGTGGGGAAATAAAGTAATAGCAGCCTTAAATGATGGTATTCGAGCAGCCATTTTTTATTTTTATTTTTTATTTTTTAAATCTCTTGCAGAGCAAAGGGTGGAAGATGTACGACTGATTCGAGATCAACATCCAACTAAAATACCAGTAAGTCTGGTTCCTGTCACTTCAGTTTCAGGTCACATGTCCTTTTTGCTGGTAAGGAGCCTGTAAAAGAACTAACCTGGTGAGTCCAAATTAAACGTGTCCCTTCAGAGTCAGTAAGCCTGCACTTGAGAAACATTCTCAAACCAGTAAGTGCGCTAGAGCAAGGTGCTAGCTGGTGACTAGAGGAAATGGAGTTTCCTGTGTACTGAAGTCACGTGCTGTAACTTCAAAGAGAGCCACACCCAGACGGAGCACTGAGATTCTCCTGAGTGTTCAGCTCTTCTCGTCCTGAAAGTGGACGTATTTTCCTTCCTTGAAAGAAGACTCTGCAGGGGATAAGCAGGAAGAGTACACAGTAATTTAGAGTCAGATGTGGCTTTCATACAATATCCATGCTGAGACAGACAGAAACACTTGCTTTCCAAGAAACGGACCTTTGCTTGGAGGTTGCTAGGAATGCTGCGTGGCTGTCGTACCCCTCCATAATTGGGAGGGAAGATCATCCCTCACCTTGTCCTTCTCCTTTCATGGTACAGCCCCAAACCACTTGCCTAAACCTTAGTTTTGTGTTATGGCATCCTAGAGGTTAGAAATGCAAAACAAAGCATCCTAGGAAGGAAAAGGGAGGGATCACGATATGTTGCTAGTGTGGCCCACAATTAGTGGGTTGTCGTGTGGCAGCTGTCCCCACAGTAAGCAATAAATGCAACTGTCCCTATGGCCGTTTGGTGGAATAGGGAAAGTCTCTGGAGATCTTGGGAGGCAGAAGGGTGAACTCTAGCAGAAGCCTCAGCTTTTGGTTCTCAGTGATGAGAGCTGATGATCTTTGTGAGTGGAAATTCTTCTGTAGGCACACAAACTGCTTGCAAACCGTCTGAAGTTCTAGTGCAAGTTTATTAACAGAAGCAGTTGCCGCCTCCACTTAAAATGGAAACTGAAAAGTTTTCAGCTACTCTCTAGGTTTAAGCTACTTCATCTCAAATGGCAGCAGCAGCAGCTTGGCCCATAACTATGCTGCTGGGCATGGGAACAGTAATAGTTTATGGCAGGGATTTTCTGACTTCTCTGGAGTCTGCGGTTTTCCCAAAAGGCCCTTTCCTGACAAATCTGTTTGCTGGCAATAGATTGCTTTTTCTTTCACCTTTCACGGATCGCTTAGAAGTAGTCCCCAAGCTCTGCGACCACAGATTGAAAGCCATTGATTTATAGCAAAGCTCTCATTTTAAGTCAGCCATGGAGATGTTACTAGCAAAAATTTAGAGCTCCCTAAGCAACCTGCTGAAGATGCTATGCCATTCTTGCAAGTTTGCATCATTGCCTGCTGGGATCCTTGGGGCCTTGCTGTGCTTGCCAGTCCATATTCTAGCCAGTGTCACTGCCACATTATTATCATTAACAGCTCTAGATGAGTTAAGAGGACAATGTCACACTAGATGGCATATCCCAGCTGTACTGTCACCATCCTTCATTTTGCTGTTGGAAATATCTATTGTTTGTGGTCTACGCCTTAAAAATAGGGGATTTTTTCCCCCCTAGAATTAGCCAGCATTTATTTAAACTAGTTTAAAGAAGTCTTTCCTTGATCTAATTAAATTGGCCTTTTATCTCTTCACCTGTGAAACTTTTGAATATCAACACAGTCAGACCCCGTGAGCATGGAAATGATCCAAGTCCCTTCCAAGCGAATGGTGTCACTTAGTTACAGTTGATTTAAAAACAACAAAACCCGCATGGCTGTGGAAACAGAGATGCACGAATTCTGAGATCTTTTCTTAAAAGCAGAAACTATATACAGTTGCTGGGCAGGGTGCTACTTACATTGGCAAATCTACCATTTCCTCATGAATTAAGTAGTTAGTACATAATAATCTTGACGGACTTACTGGTTCCTAGGCATGCTATCTTGAGATTAAGGAGGAGGAAATTCTTGCTTTGAGGCTTTATACCCTTCAAAAGTAAATTTCTCTAGTACATTGGAGAAACCAGGGAAGGCTGATAGAATAGCGTGGTAATCTGGAGCTGTGGCTCTTAGGAAGAGATGGCCAGGAGAAACTGGAGGGATTCTAGTGAAAGCTGCTTGAGGTTGCAGACCTAGGTAGCAGCCCAAGCATCCTAGTCAGCCACTGTAATATTTCATAGGAAAGCGTGCTTTATCTTTTCTTGGGTTTCCTTGTTGCTGGGTAGTTCAGTGCCAGACTAAATGATTCCAGCAATATAACACTTCTAAAGCTGTACTCAAGCTGTGAATGAGAGTGTTTTTGAATTCCTATTTCTTCCCCCTTCATTCAGGGAGTCGTATAAACAGAACGAGAAGGGCAGATGAAGATAACTGTTCCTTTTTAAATTCAAGATGGTGCTTTCACAAATGAAGTAAAATGGAGTTTAGCATAAATGCCTTCACATTTCTGCATTTAAAATGGGGGGGGGGAGGGAGGAGAGGAGGGGCTATGGCACTTCTGCCTCTCACATCTTATGCTTCTGTTCTTTTTGTTTCTTTTGAGGTTATTATTGAAAGGTACAAGGGGGAGAAACAGCTTCCAGTTCTGGATAAGACTAAGTTCCTGGTTCCAGATCATGTCAACATGAGTGAGCTAATCAAAATTATCAGGTAGTATGCTGTGATTTCAGTATTTACTACATTAAAGTAATGATTCTTTGTTCATTTTCTAGCTGGCGTATGATTTTAGGAACTCTTTAAGTGGAAAACTCATTTAACTAGTACTTAGTGTCACTAGGACAAATCCATGAGAGGGTGTTGTTCCTTGGGCTTTGCTGGCACAGCTCTGGTGTAGAAGTGCATTTGCTTGCATAAAGGGCCTTCTACTGATGTACGTAAAGGCTGTTTCTATATGAGAAAGCACTATGGATATAAATAGCTTCGAAACAAAACCACTGCATTTTCATGTAGTAGGTATAATTATTATGGTGTCGTGTCTGACCAACGTGAGCATCTAACTTGAGCTTCAGCGAGATTCGAAACCCTGTAGAGCGAATTAAAAGGTAGAATCAGCTACCTGCAACTGCTCTCGTAGGAGGCATGAGATGGAGGTGAACAGTAGCTTCCAGTTTTCTGTATATGCACTAGCAGCCTGTAAGCGAAGCAGGTACCACCAACTCCTTAGCCCTGCCTGAAAATAATTGAGCTGTTGGTTTAATTTTCCAAAGAAATAACATTTCCAGGGATGCGGGGGAGGGGGGGAATCTGGGGCTATAAATCCGTCTAACATGGGTGCTTCTGGCCAAGGGCCTCAGTGCTTCCTGGCTGGCAGTTTTAGGATGCCTTTGTGGTGTTCTGCCTGGGAGTTCCTCTCCGGAGCGCCTGCCTCTCCCCGCTCACTGGAGGGGGAGTTTGGGCTCATAGCCAGAGCTGCAAGCTGTTGCTTAGGGTTGATATTGGCATCCTTTGACCATGAAATAAGGTTACCCTAAATAACAGTGGTGAGGCCTAAAAAACACATGTTCAAACCAGTCTCTTCCTTGTCCCAGCTATTTGCACAGACTGCGGCTTGGGTTTTGCTTACAGGGAAAAGCAATGGAGAACTAACCCTGGAGTGGAAGTTGTGTGGTCTGAAATTGCGGTCAGAAATTCTGCTAGAAGTGGCTTTCTTCTGGCTTAATGTCAAAGGGAGTATTTGATTAGTAAGAGTTCCCAAGTGGTAAACTTGGAAGTCAAAAGCAAACCAGAGTTTGCTTTTCATTGGTCACGGTGTACCAGGGAGCTGGTTCTTGGAGGGCACAAGCTGCAAAAAAGGAGAACTCTCCCACTTGTCTAAACAAATCCCAGCTC